GCCCTTAGGAAGGGCGAGGCGGCGTCTCCGCTGCGGTGGTCCTTGTGCCATGCTGAAGCGATGGTGTCTGTGAGTCTGTTTTGCAAATTCAGAATATAGTTTGGTAATTTTTTTCCAGTTGATTTTTAAAAAGAACTGCTGTACAGAGCTTGTACTTTGTCCATTTTATAGATGGAAACCATCCTTGAGATTGTTTAACTTAAATAAAGAGAAGATACTTTATAGATACCGCTGTCTGTGGCGTCGCCATCTCTGGCCTTGCCAGGGCACGTATGTGGTGTGAGGGCAGTGCTGTGGCTTTTGCTATCATAGTCGCACACCCAGCATTAGCTGCTGTGCCCTTCTGCTGTTGAGCCACCTGCTCCTGGGACCCAGCTGCTCAGGCCTCTGTGGGGTGCACCTGGGGCCTGGTGCTGAGTGCCCACAGGGTGGCAGCCAGCTGGGGCCCCACCAAGGTTCCCTGGGTGTCTTCAAGCTGCTTGGGCTGAGTGCACCCCACAGGCTCTTCGGGGCCACCCGAGGCTGGCCACTTGTTTAGCAGCTGGGTTGAAGGTGTGGGGGACCCTGGAGGGATGCCTGTCATGCACACAATGTGTCTTTCTTCCCACTGTGGAGACCAGATGTTGGCCCTGCTCCCGCCCAAGGGACAGAAGCCTTCACTGTGTCTGGGGTATGCTCTAGGCCCTCCGTGACTGCGTGCATGTCCTGCTCAGGCAGTACAAGAGGCTGTGCATTATGCATGGGACCCGGAGGCTGTGGGCCCAGAGCCACTCAGCAGCCTGCTGCGTGGACAGGCGGTGGTGCTGTGCACATGGGCACCCACCCTTGGGACACAGAGAAAGCCATCTGATGGGACAGGAGAGGCAGGGCAGGAGGGGGTCAGAGGAGGCACTGGGGAGCCCAGGAACAGTGGGTTCTGGGACTGTGGGCAGGGAGCAGTGGGAGCTGGTGCCTGGACCATAGGCCAGATCTACTTCTAGCCAAACTCAGCTATTTGCTATTGACTTCGCATTTCAGAAAATAATGAACCAGAAAAATAAAATCTCCATCTCCTGTCTATGGACGTGCCTTAAAAAGACAATTCTTCCTGATCAGTGTGTCTGTCCCAGCTTGCTCCCCAGCAGGTGGCCCTTCTGGGAGGTGGTGGGTTCTCTGGGTACTTGTCACGGTGATGATGTCAAATACTCACTCCATGTATGTATATTCAACAGTATTGTACGTGTCATGTTTCTAAAGATCTTGCATCCCTCAGGTCCAGAAGGAAAGAGGAATCTGCTACTTGAGCATCCAGGCTAGGGTGCTAGAGTTGGAGGCTGCGGCAAAGCACCCCTAGTCCTCACCTGCTCAAAAAGGCCCTGTAGGAGAGTTGGATGTAAGCCTTTAACTGCAGTCCCAGCAGCTCTGTGCAGCGTCCCTACAGGGCGAGTCCCACTCAGAGTGAAGACTGAGTTTCAGAAAGGCACTGGTTTGCAGAAGGTCATGTCAAGACTCTGAGGGTCTCCGTCAGTGGCATGATACACAATCCAGCAGTGGCTGAGGTAGTTCCTGGGCGTTGACCTTCAGCGCTGGGGCTTCTGTCTGAGCCTTCAGTTCTGCTTGCCAAGAAAGCCCCCAGCCATAGCTCAAGTGAGAGACGTCCATTCTCTCAGACGACAAGATCTGAAGACAACAGGATTCCAGGGGCGAGACACCTGAAGCATGCTTCCTGCCTGGCCCTGTGACCCCTCCCACCATGGCACAGGAGCAGGGGCACTCCTGAAAGTGGGCCACCTCCTGTACTTTCCCAGTGCTGACCATCACACCTGAGGCTTCCCAGGTCCTGGGGCTCAGATACTTGGGAAGCTGAGAAGCCACAACTTCCATGTGGTCCCTGCCAGGGACTGGGTTCTTTTGGCCAGGAGGACAGGGGAGGGGTGACTGCTCTCCACCACATAGGCCGGCCCCACTTGCCATCACTGGGAGGACTCCAGCAGCACTGATGAGCAGCCAGAAGTGTACTTCCCACAATGCCAGGGCCGTGGGGCCCTTGCCCTGCTCAGGGACTTCTCTTGAGGTCTGCTGGTGGCTCAGCCTGTCCTTAAGGAGGCTGCAAGTGAATAAGACACTGCCTGAGTTTACGAAGACCACCAGTCATACCAAGATACCATCGTCCCCTTTGCCGTGCATGCCCAGGCTGCCACCTCAGCTGCAAGAACTATGCACTTACATGACACTTTGAAACACCTGCAGAGTAATTAATGTGACAAGGATGCCATGGCTGGGCTGGGCTCAGTGGCAGAGCGTGTGCCTAGCATGTGAGAGGTATTGGGCTCCCTCCCCAGCACCACATGAAGAGTTAAAGATATGGTGCCCGTCTACAACTAAAAATACTTTTTAAAAAATGCCCATGATGGTTTCATCAAGGACAACTCCCAAAGTGTCGGCCACGTTCATAGTAGCAGGGATGCCAGGCATCAGAGGGCCATGGTATAGGGTCATCATTGCCCTGGAAGCACCTGGACCCAAGTTTGCCCTCACCACAGGTGAGTGTGGCTTCCTGGAGCTTCAGTGACGTGTTGGTTAGTTGTGGATGTCACTGGGAGGCCCAGGGTTGCCTAGAACAGTGTCCAAGCTGTGTCCCAAGGAGGCTGGTCTATTGGGTAGCATGGTGAAGGGGATGTGTGGGCAGCACCATCCAGTGTACCAGGACCCCTGGGAGGACAAAAGACCATATCCTTTCCTGGAGCTGAGGGCTACTCACTCTCTTGCCCCTGAACATCAGAACTCTAGGCCTCTGACCTCTGGATGCCAGGACTTACCAGCAGCCCAGTTCCCAGGCCTTTGGACTTGGACAGAGCCACAGCCAGCATCCTGGGGTCTCTGACTTACAGACTGGGCCTCCAAAGTCAGGTGACCAGTTCCCCTGTCCCCACTATTTATCTGTGGGTCAGTCTCTGCTGAACCCTGACTAACATGAGTGGTTTTGTCTTCCTTCTGCTACAATGTCAAGTGAAAGGGCCAAGACAATGCCAGAGACAGGTGTCCTTGGGGCACAGCCAGGAGACTGCTCAGGATCCAGCTGCTGTGACACTGCTCCTGAGCTCTAACACTGTCTCTGAGGAAGAACAGATCACCCTTGAGGCTCAAGCAGGCACTTGACGGACATCACTGGGAAGAGCAGCTGGCGGGGGCCTGGGCATGTGGAAGCCAAGCCGAAGGGGCTTCTGGGAGGCTCCTGCGTGGAGCACTGGTTGATGTGGCCCGAGGTGGCTGGCCACCTCCTCTTTACGATGAGCTGCCTGGGAGGTAAAATGGGCAGACTATCGGGTCCCCAGAAGAAAGGCAAGGGCCTCCCAAATGCACCTCCTCACCCAGAGGGCTGGGATGTGTCTGACTGCTGGGAATGTTAGCTTATCCATGGAGCAACCATCTTGGAGTCAACTTGGCCTGGACCCAGCTCTGGATACACAGGGCACAAGCTGCCTGCTGCTTCCGAACTCCCTCGGTGTGTGCAAGGCCTCTAAGAGGCTGAAGGGAGGGAAGGACCTGGTCTCGGGCAGAATCAGCAAACTAGGGCCCACCTCCAGCAGGGAGGAACCCTGAGCGGAAGGGGCAAGTGGAGGGCCCCCTGGGGAGGTGGCTGGCAGACTGCCTGCTACCCCCATGGACACAAGGGAGCTTGGGGAGAGGTGCTAGTTTTGGAGATGTGGGACTTGGATGCTGTGGGGCTGAGACTGGGCTTGCTGAGGTGTGTTGTGCTTGTAGGATGAGTCAGGGTGCACTCTGGCAGGCTGTGGACAGCCCACCCAGAGGGGGCTGGGCAGGTAGAGGCGGAGCCAAGGGGCCTAGTTCCTGGAGCACCTAAGTGTAGTGGCCAGCAGAGGGAGGCTCAGTGGTCCCATGGTGGGCTCCAGGGGTGGACCCTGACGACAGGGTCCCCTCCACCCCACGCACGGCCTGGAGAACACTGCTATGGGTGCTTGCCAGTGCCTCCCTGTGGCCTCTGAAAAAGCAGGTCTTCCTCAGGAGACCAGGAGCCCGGACTCCATGCTTCCGTGATTGCTGGAGCTCGCGCATGCACCATGACGTCCTGGGTATGTGGCCGTGGGTCTTCCCTACTCCTTCAATTGCAGGAGAGCACTGGAACCTTCTGCGGGCCTCCTTGAATCCCTCTACATAGACACACACACCTGAATAGGACACTTACAGGCTACGTTTTTGCACAGGTCAATTGTGGGGGGCCCTGCACACCCCTTCAGGCGCTCAGCCCTTCGTGACCCCATCCTGAGCTCCCTGGCATCTCTTGTTGGAGGCAGTGAGGGTCCATGTGGGGAACACCTGTGTGACAGGCTGTTCTGCTGCCTCTGTAGCCCGCAGTGCCTGCAGGCAGAGGAGGTGAGCCCTCCGAGGTCCAGCTGCACCTTGCCCCCCAGCTGCTTTCTGCCACTTAGGTAACTCCCAGGCTCTCAGCCAGCAGCAGGGGGCTCTGTGGCTGGTGGGTTTTCCAGGTGAGGGAGTGACTGCTGGCCTGGGCAGGGGCTGCTGCTGCCGCTGAGCACTTGATCTTGCATTGGAGCAGCCCTGAGGGGCGCTCACCAGCCACCTGTCTGACACCACCCTTCCTGTGGACAGAGGGTGGTGTGGGCACCCTCAGGAGGTGGTGACGACCACAACCTGACTGCAGACTCAGATCCTGCATGGGCTGGAGCACTGTTGCTCTGCGTCACAGCAGGGCGGGCCAGCCTGCCGTGCCCTGGCTGCTGGCCGGCTCCTCCCTACTTGCTCCCATGCATCCCTGGACTGACTTGCCGTGTTGCCACCCACTTCCCAGTGGCATGCCCACCCTCCTGGCTGGTCATGTGTTCCTCTCCACTGCCAGATGTGTGTTTCTGGGGCAGCAACCACTGGGGAATGTCCACAGAGGTGCCCCAAGACGAGTATGGAGTTCTGCAGCCCCTTTCCACAGCCCTGCCGCTGGCCCCATGGCTCGATGGCTTGCCCTGGGACCCTCAGCCGGGCCCTACCTGCCTCCCTGTCTCCATCTTGACAGCAGCTGGAGACATGCATGGCTGCCCTCTGCTGGCCAGGCTGGGCAAGGCCTCTCTCCAAGGAGGGGCAGCATTGATTGGGAAGCGCTACAGGTGAGGCCAGCTGTGAATGCCTATGTGGCAGGCTGTCCTGCTGCCTCTGTGGCCTGTGGTGCCTGCAGGCGGAGAAGTTGAGCCCTCCAAGGTCCGGCTGCACCTTGCCCCCCAGCTGCCTTCTGCCACTTAGGTGACTCCCAGGCTCTCGGCCAGCAGCAGGGGGGCCCTGTGGCCAGTGGGTTTTCCAGGTGAGGGAGGAACTGCTGGCCTAGGCAGGGGCTACTGCTGCAGCTGAGCACTTGGCCTTGCATCTGAGCAGCCCTAAGGGGCGCTCACTTGTTCCAACTCCGCAGGAATGCTGCCCGGCCCACCCTGCCCCCTCAGCCCCACTGTTGCTCCTGGAGCATGGTTACCTTGTTTGGCTCCTGCTGTGGCCAGGGCTTGCCTCCTCTTGGGCTCCCCTAGACACACCTGGATGGACATAGCCAGGGGTAGGCGACCAGTGGGGTTCTGGAGACGGAATGTGTCTTTCTAGTCCTTTTGGGGGGCTGGTGGAGAGGGATGCCGCCCCGAAGCCACGACCTCCTGGCCGGCAGTGCTGTCGGTCACCTCTGCCTCCCGAGGCCAGAACCTGCCTATCCTGACATCTCTCCTGTAGGCAGAAGTGTGGACCCTGCCTTCCCTCCCTGCAACCTCCAGGCAGGATTGCTGGGCTCCTGCCCCTTGACCCTAGTGGCAGATGTTCACCAGCAGTGTCATGGGTTCCCTCCAGCACACATCCTTGTCCAGGAAACCTCACCCCCACTTTCCGGGCCATGTGGGTCCCACGGCAGCTCCCTGAAGTGTCTATCCAGAGGCAGGGCCTGGCTCAGCCAGTCCCACATGTGGCTTTGCTGTTAGTGCTTTGGCCACGTGAGACACTGGATTCTGCTGTATAGGGGAAGGTCCCCAGGCTTGAGCACCTGCCTTCGGTAAAAGTTGCTGTGGTGTGTGGGAGGGAGGGTGCCCATAGGGAAGGTCTGGGGATGTGGGGAGCAGGGAGGGTCCTCCAGGAGGTGAAGGCAACTGTGCAGAGGACAGTGGGTGGGGCAGTCTTGGCTCACAGGAGGGCCTAGAGCACCTCATGTCTTGCTAAGGCAGAGAAGCACGTGTCCCAACCCCTGTTCCCCACAAGGAGGGGGGCAGCCTGGGGAAGAGGTCAGCCACCTCACTTTACACAGGAATCCTTGGGTCACAGAAGATGGCTACACAGTCTTACCTCTGAGGACTCTTCCTGGGCTGAGAGGACAGCTGTGGCCACAGCGGTGCTCCCAGCAAGGGCGTTGGCTCCTGCATCAGTGTCCCCCTGGCCCTCACCCCTCGCCCACCCCGCCTGCCCCTTCATTTGCCAAGAGCCCTGAGGATTCCCAGGTGTGGCCATCTCAGACCCCGGTGCTTCCCTTGGGTACCCTTCCCCACATTGCTACCACAAAGGACCACAAGAGGCCACAGCAACGTCCTCGATGGCACCTCAGAGTTGAGACCAACCCAACCTGGTTGTGACCAACCTGGCTGGAGCAACAGCCACACAGTGAGGTGCCTGGCTGCATCACAGCCGGCAGGAGCCACGCTCCGCACGCGGCTCAAGCACACCAAGTTTGTGAGGTCTGTGGCCAGAGTGGCCAGCATGAGAGCCCGGATGTGCTGAGATGCACAGCCCAGGGAGGTGGATGTTTCCCAAGGGTATCAGCTGGGCTTTGGAGGGCAACCTGGGGAAAAGAAGCAGCAGTGCAGGTGGGAGCCCCAGAGGAGCGCTGTCCAAGTCCTGGCCTGGCCCTTAGTTAGTGGGACCCTCCCCTAAGGAGGGAAGGGGGCCTGGGGCAGGGTCACTGGAGAGTCCTGTGCTCCTAGAGTCCCACCTCCCCTGAGGAGGGAATTCGGGCCTGGGGCGAAGTTCCTGGAGGGTCCTGGGCTCCTGATGTCCCACCTCCCCTGAGGGGGAAAGGGGGCCTGGGGGCGGGGTCCCTGAAGGTCCCTGTGCTCCTGGTGTCCCACCTCCCCTGAGGAGGGAAGGGGGCCTAGGGCAGGGTCCCTGGAGGGTCCTGGGCTCCTGGTGTCCCACCTCCCCTGAGGAGGGAATGCGGGCCTAGGGCAGGGTCCCTGGATGGTCCCTGCTCTCCTGGTGTCCCACCTCCCCTGAGGAGGGAAGGGGGCCTAGGGCAGGGTCCCTGGAAGGTCCTGTGCTTCTGGTGTCCCACCTCCCCTGAAGAGGGAAGGGGGGTCTGGGGGCGGGGTCCCTGGAGGGTCCTGAGCTCCTGGTGTTGCACCTCTCCTGAGGAGGGAAGGGGGGCCTGGGGCAGGGTCCCTGGAGGGTCTTGGGCTCCTGGTGTCCCACTTCCCCTGAGGAAGGAAAGAGGGCCTGGGGCAGGGTCCCTGAGACCCTGGTGTCCCACCTCCCCTGAGGAGGGAAGGGGGTCCTGAGGCGGGGTCCCTGGAGGGTCCTGTGCTCCTGGTGTGCAATCTGCCAGGAGCTGAGTCAGGACTCAGCTTCATCCCCTGGGGAGTTGAGGTCTCCCCAAGGAGAGGATAGGCAGTAGCCAGGCAGGCCATCCTCCGACCCAGAGCCTCTGCTTACACTAGAGGGGCACATGCTCTTTCTGACAGGGTCCCCAGGGAGGTGCTAGGTGAGGTCAGAAAGCAGGTCTGGACGAGAGTCTGGAAACCTACCTCTGTGGGTCTCAGGAGGAACAGACACAGGACCTGCCCACACCAGACCACTGTAGGCCACGGCCACTGGCCCCTCATCCAGTGCTATGCTCCAGGACCCCAGTGGATACCTGGTAGCACGTGGCACAGTCCCTGTGCCCCTGTGGTGAGTGCATTCATGCTGGACACAGTTGGGGCTGGCAAGACGCAGCAGCTGCCCAGCGATGGTCTAGAGCTCAGGAACTGATCCTCATGGAATTTTCTACCTAGTGCCTTGGGATGGTGCTTGATCACAGGTAGTGGGACATCAGGCGAGGGACCCCTGCACTTAGGGGCCACAGACATCTGTAGCAGTTGAAACTCAGCTGGATTTCATCCATGAGCTGCTCAGGGGTCCAGGATACCAGGACACAGGCCAGTCCATACAGTGGGCAAGCTGTGTATCCTGACCTTTGAAACAAATCCATGTATTTACAAAGAATCAACATCTAAATAGACTTTATTTTTTTTTTTTACTTGTTTGGACAGAAAAGGAAATTCATCGCTTTCATCCGTCTCCCTAAGTGTCGGAAACACGTCAACTCGAAACAGTGGGCCCCGTAGAAAAGCAACACAGATTAAAAATATATTTCTCCACGTGGTAAAAGTGCTTCCAGTCCACCCCAAGGGCAGGCAGAGGTGTCGGAGATGGTCTAGGATTTGGCCTACGGTCCGTGGCATCGAATTCAAACCACAGGTGAGGTGGCCACCGCAACTAGGGTGCAGAGGTGACGTGGGCTTAGAGCATGCTGGGGCACGCCTGCTCACCTGGGTGAAGGAGGCGGAGTGTCCCCAGCCTGAAAAGCTCTGCTGGATAGAGGGCCACCTGTCCCCGGGTGAGGCCACCCTGGAGAAGCCCCAGATCTTGAGCATGGCCAGGAAGGCAGCCCTGTGTCAAATCACGCCCCACCCAGCTTGTCCCCATGGTCCCAGTCAGGGATCACCAGAGCAGCGAACATCATGACCAGGAGGAAGGGCAGCCAGCAAGGATCCGCGTGGCAAGCAAGGATCCACAGCAGGGCATTTGCCTCACTGGCATTACGCTTCTTTACAGAATAAGTAATTCTGTCAGTGACGGTGACAGACTCTGCAGCCACAGGCTGCCTGACCCTTGTTGGCCTGCAGCCAGTGTCCTGGGAGCCAGCGGCCTTCCCGCCTGTCACGGGCACAGACACAGAACTGATCATGCAAGGGGGTGCATGGGAACGAAGGGCACCCCTTTACAGTAGACCTTAAGCAACAGTAAGAAAATAACCTGAAGAGAGATTTAAATAAAAACAGCATCACGCTCGGCTGCAGCCTCTGGGGGCACCGTGGCCCAGCCCCACGGGGCCTGGGCAGCAACACCACCCTGCTCTGCGTCTGGTGGCATCACGCTGCTCACAGAAGGCAGACGCTGGGATGCCCACCTGCTCAGGCCTCGACCAGGCTCCCGTACTGACCAGGCCGATGCCCGTGCTTGCTGTTGCCACTGTCCTCTCTGCCTGTCAGGCTCCTGATCAGCCCACGAGCAATAGGCACTGTGCACACAGCCTCACAGGCTCCAGGGCATCAGGAGGACAGGACAGCCAAGATTGTGGCGCCACCCTGGGGGGACTCGCGCCTCTCTGGATGCTAACCTCACCAGGGTCCCTGAAGGGCAGGCTCCCCTCCTCCTGCCATGCCTGGGGCTGGCCTCAGTGGGCGGGCGACATGTCCTCCAGGCCCAGCAGCTCCCTCACCAGTCTCTCTCCAAACTGCGCCCGGCTGTACCTCTTCACGTGGTAGGCGTCGGACATCTTGTACAGGATGTAGGCGTTGTTGACGGCGATGCTGATGGCAAACCAGAACACCTGCTGCCAGGTCTTGCTGGGCTTGTGGGAGATGAAGTACCTGAGGCAGAGAGCGAGCAGGCTGAGTGGGGCCAGGCGCCGAGCCCCAAGCCCGGCCGGCCCGCTGCCACTCCACAGGACACTAGTGCCTGCAGCCAGCCGCTGCCCACACCAGCAGGCCCCACCTTGCTGCCCTCAGGGAAGCCACTGGCCCTGGGCTCACCCTGAGGACACGACTCCTCCCAGCCACCTCTGCTCCCACCCTGCTGTCCTGTGTGTTCCACCTGTGAGAGCGCAGGGAAGATGCGCTTAAGATGCTGGCCACAATCTCCTGTGCAGAGTGCCCAGCTCCCTGCAGCCCAGGACTGGCCTGGTTCTGAGGTTTCTGCACCTGGTTCTGAGGTATCTGAGCCTGGTGTTGGGCAGGCAGCCTCGGCTGGACGAACGTCAACATCACACACAGGCGAGGAGCACAGCCTAGCGCCAGGTGTGCAGCCTGGGAGCCACAGTCCTTCTGAGGACTGTGGGGGTGGGCAGACTCCTCAGATGGCAGGGTTGGAGAACAAGGCCACGAAGATGGGAGCTGCCCCAGGAGGGCTCAGCAGATGTCCACCACCAGCCTGGCCAGTCGAGCCTATTCTGGGTTGTAGGTCCACCCTGGGGCTAAAGACCATATGCAGGCCCAGCAGCTGCCCTTTCTGGATCTCGGGACACTCAAGGTGTCACACACGAGCATCCCATCTCTGGCTTGCGTCCCAACGGGCACCCTCACCAGTGACCTCAGGCTGCCTGTGCAGGGGCGCAGGAGGACAGGCCGGCCTCTGACGGGTGGAGGAGGCTCTCGCCCGCTGCTGCTCCTCACACTCACCGGCTGTACTTGTCGTCGTATCTGCAGATGTAGCTGAGGTGAGCAGCGAAGGCCTCCACGGCCAGGGGGCAGGGCACCTCCCCACTCCTCCTCTTGATGATGACCCCTGCAGGGAGGATGCGCTCAGTGCCAGCCACAAACCTCCTGGGCAGGATGCCCAGCTCCCTCCAGCTCAGGCCTGACCACTGAGCTGCCCAGGACTCCAAGGGCCTGGAGAAGGGATGGAGTGGCGGCCGCTGCTGCTCAGATATGGCCACACACGCCCCCCACACTCTCCTGTGTGGATGCAGCTGGGATACACCAGGCTATTGACACATCACCGCAGGATCACAGGCCCCACCAGCAAGGCCTGAGACCCACCGAGGCCCACTTCTTCCTCATCTTGCTGCCCAAGACGCTGCCAGACTACCCACGCCCCAGGTCTGCTGGTGGCCAAGCCGCACCCAGGCCTCCAGGCAGGCTTCCTGGCAGCGCCAGGCTTCCCGGCAGCACAGGAGGTCCTGGCATGAGGGGGTCACAGCACGGAGGGTCACGGCATGGGGGTCATGGCACAGGCCCTTTCTAGTGGCTGTTTAAGGACTGAGTTCAGAGGACTGAAATCGCAGCAGCATGGAGCAGACCAAGTCCTAGCGAAAGTGGCGTGTTCCTGTGGGACGATGGGCTCCAACTGAGCCAGCAGCTCCTGCCCAGTGGGGAGAAGAGGTGCATGGCTGGGCTAGGCTCTCCTCCCAGCACCGGTGCTCAAGGAAGGACACCGGGAGCCCTGGGAGGACGTGGGAGCATGGCCCTGTCTCCCTGCTGCATGTCTGTCTCTGCAGGTCCACATGGCCCTGCAAGAGCCCATGTCCTCTGCCCAGGGCCGAGGGACTGGCAGATGTGGCTCCCTCACTGGCCTTGATAAAGCTTGGTCTCAAATGGGAACCGACACTCATGGGGAGCAGGAGACACGAAGCAAGAGGCTGGGAGGGTCCAGGGCTCCTAGAGCCAGGAGGAAAGGATTCCTGGAATGCTCGGGCCGAGATGCATCTTCTGAAGCCAGAACGAGAAGGCTGAGAAGCAGCCTCAGCACACGGGAGGCTTCAGCTCCCCATCTGGGCCACCAAGAGAACAGGAAGGGGGCCTTCTCCAGTGCTCCATGGCCACATGACCCCATGCAGCCACCCCAGCCTGCACAAAGGTAAAGCCTCTGAGGCTCGCCTCAGCAGAGGGGGCGACCACCATCCGGGGTGGGCAGCTGGCAGCAGGTCTGCCTCTGAGAAATAAAAACCCTTTAGAGCACGAGATAAAAAAACCAAAGGGGAAAGTGCAGAGAGAGATTCTGCTTTCAGGTCAATGAGAAAGAGGCAAACTTGTCACCAGAAACATTCATAGGAAGAGTCTGCAGGCCGCCGAGAGTTGTGGAGACACGCGGCCTTACCGGCAGCCCTGGCGCCGTGCAGATTAAAAAGAAGAGGTGCAAGAGAAGCTGGAAGAACATGGGTCCCTGTGGGGTCCCTGTGGCTCAGCCAGTGATCAAGTCCAGCCTGTGGCCACTGTCATCAGGGCCAGGGAGGCACTTCTGTCCCAGCACTCAGCAGCTGGGAGGGACATTGGGAGCCCAGAGTGAAGGCCCCACACAAGCTTCCAGATCTTCCTGAGGAAATGATCCCAGAGTGTGGGAGCCACATCGAGTGACCACATCTTCCAGTCCTGATTCACCAGGGGATCTGAAAGACCACTATGGTCTGGCGCAGTAGTGCCATGACTCGGGACTCGGTCTTTTCCCCGCTTGGATAGCAAGGCCAGTCTTCTGAGTGGGCATATCCCTGGAGTTGAGCTACACTCAACCCCATTTTGCCCTGTTTGGGATAGAATGTTCCATGGAATGCCCTTTGTATGTCCCCTTCTCTTGCTCTGCTCCTGCGTGAGGCCTTCCTAGCTGTCAGTCAACCTGCTGACAGCAGACATCATGAAGCCAGACTCAATCCCCAAAACCTGACCCCTGCCTCATTTGAATGGCTTCTCTCCAATAAAAGGGTTCAGCACCTGCTCTCTCTCTCTCTCTTTCCACAGACCCCTAAGGTCAGAGGAGCTGCCACAGGACCCAAAGAAAAAGGCATCTCTTGTCTCTGTGTGGTTATTTCGTGCAGCCCAGTCCCCCTGGAGTGACCCTGCGTGTTTTAGTCATGGAACACAACACCAGAGGACCAAAGGCTCTGTCTGAAGCCCCTGACCTCACTGTCACACACAGCCCGAGTGGCTCAGGGACTGACACGTTGCACAGGGCATGGGAGGACTGGAGGATGGGCACTTTTAAAATTGTTTTTAAGTAGACCAAGAAAACCTCCTGTTCCTTAAACAAAAGTACCCTAAGGTGTGGACAGAACACCACTCCCAGCCACCTAGCCCACCTGCCCTTTCTTCTCGGGGCCTTCAGGGCCTGGAGCCTGGCCTGCCCACAGTGGCGGCAGCCCTATACCTTGGTATGCTACAGCACGTTGAGGCTTAGGGACTGGATGTCAAAACAGCTGAGAACTGTCACCAGGCTGCACACAAACATTTCATCCCAACTCTTAGAGTCGCCTACCGGCTCCTCCTGCCCCACACTCCTGTGCTCCCACTAGGCCCTCTGTCTGATGAGAGGGTCCCTCCCCAGGTTGCCCCCAGGCTCCTAGAGCATGCTCTCCTGAGCACCCTTGGGGACAGTGGAAGCAGCTGCCAGGCTCCACCCCAAGCTCAGTGCCTCCCTCCAATGCCAGACGCAGCCTGGAGCAGCTTCCTGCGCCCCTGTACCACAGGGAACAAAGCCCCTGCGCTGAGTCCCCAGACCACCGTCCCCACCCAGGGTGCAGTGGAGGGCAGGGACATGAATGGCACATAGACCACGTGAGGAGCGCCTCACCGGTGCATAGTGCCCTTCCTGTGAAGGGCCTGCTCTTCCCCAGGCTCTTCCCAGGAGCTTCGCAGTGACACCATGCAGCCTCTGGCCAGCAGAGGCCCTTGCTAGAGGTAGACAGACTCCCAAGGGGACACCTGGAAGGCCGAGCAGTCACAAATGCCAATGACACAATGATCCTGTAAATGCCTCACAGATGTGGCTAGCCACACGTCCTGTGCACAGTGGGGTGAAACCCGTGTCCCAGCTGGCCAGGCTGAGCTCATGCTCAGGAAGCGCCCTCCATGCCCGCCTCCTGACACCACAGCCGCAGTTAGGCCCGTGGCCCAGCCCTGCATCCTGGGGCCACACGATGGGCGGCAGAGCCACTGAGGGCTATCTGGGTGCACTCCACACATCACTGCTGCCACCACCAGGTACCCCACCACAAAGACCCACCCCAATCAAGCTTCTCCAGGGATCCCCACCATAATTAAGCTTCTTGTCAGCAAGATTTTACAAAGAGTGTCAACAGGACTTCACAGGGTTTCTGTAGAGAGCTCAATGTGGTCTGAAGCTTCCTCTTAATGCCAGGTTTTCTGACAAAAGGTGTCATGGGCTCTGTCTCCAGAGAGCTCGATGTGCAAAAGTTATTGCTTGTTTTCTTGGAAGAACTTGTGAAACCTCTCTCTGACCTAAGAGTATAGGACAAAGAGTGACGGCTCTATGACCAGTGCCTGGTGTAAGCCCCCACTGAGCATGAGCCGAACCCATTCCAGACCAGGGGCCCAAGGATGTTAGGCATCAGACCCTCTGGACCACTGCAGAAATAAATAAGCCTGCTTCCTGGAAATTCCTCTGGTGGCCAGCCTCATCTGTCCTACACCACCAAGACCTGCAGAGGGCCAGCCACGCCCTCGCCCCCAGCACCCGCATGGCTGGGCTCACCTTGCTGCACTGGGGAGTAGGCATTGGTCAAGAATCGAAAGTGCCCCTTGTTGTACCAGCAGATCAGGGACATGTTCCCCTTCATCTTGATCTGGTGCTGGCCGCGGGCTGGCGGTGTGGCTGGGTTAGTCAGCATGGATGGCGGGAGTCCCGTGCAGTCACTCTTCCGGGAGCTGAGCAGGCCACAGCAGTAGATCTCTGGTGGGAGAGACGCAGGTCACATAGGCACCCACTTGCTGAGACCAGCTGGGGCCTTGCCCTCTGGGGCCTTCCCGAAGCCTCTGGAGGACATCTGCTAGACTGCAGGGAAGGCCTGCATGCACTGGACAGTGCCTTTGTCCACGGAGCTCTGGGGTCTGGCACAGTGCCAAGCATGTGCCCTGTCTGCCTCCAGAAGCTTCTGCACTTGTGTTACCCCAGTGTGTCAGGACAGAAGGCGCCACCCGGCCTCCAGACCAAGGCCCCTGTCACAGCTGGTAGGGCAAAGATGGGTGTGACCCATGGGGATGGGTGTGACCCATGGGGAGGGGTGCGGCCCAGAATACTGCAGCCAGGTCTGGGGCTGACACCACCCGGCAACCCCAGTGTGCACCTGGCCCCAGTGTGCAGCACTGCCCCTGCTGCAGAGAACACACACGGCAGCCCCTGCAAAGTGCTTCTAAGGGGGCAGTGAGATCCAAGTACGCATCGCCTAGCCTCCTGCACACCTCCCAACTCCACATCTACTCTCCTACAGCTGGGAGGTTTCCATCCATCCTGCTGCCTTCCTGAGCTGGGAGCACTCTGGGACTCCCAGGAGGGCACACCCAGCTCCTGAAGCAGCAGCCCAGTGGCCAGGGATACGCTCCACACCCCAGACTGCCTGCAGAGTCTCCCTCTGCCCAGCACCAGTTCCACCCCAGCACACAGGCCACGCTGTCTGAGCCAGCCCCACATCTCTCAGCGCAGGCAGAGGTAAGCCAGGGAGTGGCACTGTCACTCACATGCTGAGGGCTACACCACCACTCATGGATACTTGGAGGACATGTAGGGTAGCACCAGCTGTGGCCCTCCCTGAACAGTAGCACCACACTCTCCCAAAGTGGCTGCCTCTCAGGGCCAATCTCCTGCCACTCTCCCCTTCTCCATGGCACTCATACTTACAATGGAGCCCAGCAGAGTGGCCAGCCTGTGAGGAGCAGAGGCCTGGCAGCTCCTGCACCTCACTGGCAGCAGAAGCCCAGGATGCAAGCTGTCTTCCCACCAGACTCACAGGGTCCAGTTTTAAAGCCAGACATCTGTGCTGTGGCTGAGCCACAGTGATTATAGGAGCCACTATGCACAGGTGGGCACCTTTCATGCTTCCCCTGAGCTACCTGGGTCCACCCTCCACCCTACCCTGGTCCAGTTTTCCTCTTCCTGCAGTCCTGCCTCTGCCTGAGCCAGGGTAGCCTGGCCCAGTCTGTGTAGGGGCCTAGGACACAGAGGCCCAGCGGATGTCCCATCTGCACAGTGCTCATCTGTCTGCCGGGAAGGGCCACCTAGAGACGGTGGGTGAGCTCAAGAATCTCCAGACCCCACACCCAGGACACATACACCTGGAGGTCATCAGTGCCCCCACAGGGTCCAGGCTCACAGGGCGGAGAGAGGAACGGATTCCCCCCACCTGGCAGCCTGTGGTCTGCACCCTCCACCCGACCCACGCATCTGCCTGGAAGGGAGGTGGGTCTTGCTGGGACCACCCGCTGAACAAACCTTGCTTCTCGAACTCTTCAAACAGGGTGAGGCTGGTGATGCTGGGCCCCGTGAAGATGATGTAGTTCTTGCCGGCCGCGCTGCGGCACAGGCTCCTGGCCACCATGCCGTGTAGCTGAGGCTTGTTCTTCAGGGCGTCCAGGCTATCTGGACCTCCGCCTTCCTTCAGGTGGACGTAAATCTGTAACAGACACCAGAGGCCCATGCGTTCAGGGTGCCGTCGGGAGAGACCCCAAAGCTGCAGGAAAAGTGGGTCTCCTCTGGGCTGGAGCTGGGGGCAACCCCTACCCCAAGTCTTCTCCACCACGGTGGCCCTGTGTCACTCAAGGTTGCCTGCAGCCCCAGCGGCTGGTGACTCAGCCTAATGTTTCAGGTAGGGGCCAGGGTGGCAAAGGTCCAGCAGTTACAGCTCTGACCCTGAGGCTAAGGTAGACACAAGCACTATCCCATCCTGAAGCATGGGTTGGCCAGTGTTTACCAGGAACGAGAGTAAAGGCCACCTCTTTGGTCAGGAGATGGGACGGGGCCTGCCAAGGCCCAGGACCAGCAGAGAGGACAAGCAGGTGGAGGGTGAAATCAGCAGTGTCCATGCTCCTTCCACGTGCAGCCCGAAGGATCGGCTCGGGGAAGAGCAGCTTGGAGAACCTCCCGTCCTGCCCATAGCATAGCCAGGAGAGGCTCCCCAGAGGGCTGGCAGCATCCTCACCAGGAGCTCGGGTGTCTCTGGAGCTTCCCAGGGCCTCTGGGCAGCTGTTTACCAGTCCCTACCACTGCCCTGTGCCTGCCCACCCCGGGGGTACACTGACCTCCAACCACGGAGGGAGTGGGTGCATCAGGCAGAATCCAACCATGCCCAGAGACAGAGGGCCCAGGCAGAGCCCAGCGCCCTCTCAGGACCGACCTGTCCAGTAGCTCTGGGGCATCCCTCGCAGAATGCACGAGCCTGAGGTCCTAACAGGGGGGCAAATGAAGGTCTGATCCGCATCTGGGATGGGACGCAGGGCCCTGGCTCAGCAAGAGCATCTCAGAAAACAGTCACCACCACAACGGGAAGCGTGATGCTGGGTGAGTTAATCTCGGGATGCCACGCAGCCCAGAGGTCTTCACCTGCTGCAGGTGACCTCCACCTACGCCACAGGTGGGCACTGTTTGTCCGTCTACACTGAAGGTCAAGATGCTCTGCTGGTCCCTTTTCTTGCTGCACCAAGTTGGTGGCTGCAGATGCCAGTCTATCAGCTCACGGCTCGCAGGCCGAGGTCTGAGCCTGGTGTGGTGCCTTTCTGCTCCAGATCACACGGGGCTGAAGTCAAGGTGTCACTGGCATGTCCCGTTTACAAGGTGCATTTCTGTTTTCTGTGGCTGCAGGATAGAGGCCCTGGTCCTACTGGCCATGAGGGACTGGGCTGCGTCCCCACCAACGGCAGCTCCACCCTCAGAGCCAGCAGCAGAGCCCCTTCCTCAGGTGAAGGCCTCTGGGACATCCCATTTTCTCCAGGAAAAACCTGGCCTGGCTCTGATGCCGAGTGGTTGAGGCTTCCCAGACACATGCCCTTGAGCTAGTTTAAACCTTCACAGGGGAACACCAAAGCCCTTGGCAGGGCTGCCGCAGGCCCATTGGCGTGAACGGCCAGGAGGCATGTGCGCGGGGGAAGCTCCTGTGCCTGGGAGGAGCTGGGACGCGAGGGCCTCCTGAGGCAGAGAAGAGGCTCCACACTGCTGGCTGGAGATGGCAGCAAAGCACGTCCAGGCAGATGTGAAACAAGCCTGCTGGCCCCAGCACCTCATGTGGTGAGGCCTGGACCTCAGAGCAGCCACCAAGAGGGGTCAGCAGCAGGTGAGATGACCCTGTGGTGTGTGGGTGGCAGGTGGCTTAGTCATGTGCAGAACATGCAGTAACAGAAGTGGCACCATGTCCCATAGGGGCAGCAGTGACTCGAGAGATGACTCAAGCGTGTGCACGCCTACACTGGCCACGTCCTTGGGCCACTTCTATATGACGACGTGTTTGTTGTATTCACAGACATCCGGGACTTGTGCTTGATCCTCAATAGCCAACACTTTTAACCAGAAAAAGACACTTCAGACAATGGCAGAAGAACCTGCGTGGGAGCGTTGACCACAGCATACGTGGAACGTGCAGCACCTGCAGGGCCTGCGCTGTGGCTGTGGTGAACGGCCTCCTGTGGCCTGCAGACGATGAGGCCGCAGAGTCAGGCTGGCCTCCTGCTCCATTTTGCTGAGCACCCCTGATGTGTGCCGAGGGCCTTGACCCTGGGGCAGGCGGGGCGAGGGCGTCCAGCTGCAGGAGGCTGATGGATCCCCCAGGGCAGCCCTTCTCTGCCCAAGGTTGTGGCAGAGGCCTCCTGTCTCACCAGGAAACCAGGAAGCAGCCTGCAGCCAGAGGTAGACAGCTAAACCCCAGGATGCCAGTCTGGACAGTGGTGCACACAGTGGGGTCTTCAATTAACCAGTGAGAAGCTCTGGCAGCCTCACAGGCCCTGCCCAGCACAGGACCCAGGACCTGGCATCAGTGGTGCTGGGAAGTCTGGCTACTCCATGCCCCTGTCAGACTGCGGGGCCTGGCCGTCCCGGTGGCCTCGACTGAGAATTCCAGAAGGCCCCTCAGCTGAGGAGCAGCTCCAGTGGAGTCTCATCCCCAGGACACACGCTGTGTTGGTCATATCCAGACTGGAGTCTCCTGAAGAACATGTCAGCCTCTGAGACCACAGTGTCCTTGAGGCCACACACCTTCTTCCTTGGGTGCTCTTTAAGGCAGTGAACGATGCAGCAGCAAAGCCTACAGCCTCAGGACAAGCATCTGCTGGCCTGCTTTTAAAAGAAGTGGGATCTTGCTAGGCACAGTGGTACACACCTGTGATCCCAGAACTGGGGAGGCTGAGGCAGGAGGATTGCACGTTGAAGGCTGGCTAGGTAATTGCCAATCACAGTCTGCAAGGATATTTTCCTGCCTGTGTAGAGAGTGGGCTGGAAACCTCTTCAGGGCAGGACATGTCCCTTTTGGATGTCGAGCTTTTCACTTTTCCTAGAAAAAGTTTTTCTTGCTTCTATGTCTTGTCACATGCATGTACATGGTACTGAGAAATGAAGCCAGGATGCTCTAGCACAGAGCCTTGTCCCTAGTCCTTTTTATTTTTAAGACAGGGCTTTGCTAAGTTGCTGAGGCTGGCCTTAAACTTGTGATCCTCCTGCCTCAGCCTCCAGAGTTGCTGAGATACAGCACGGCCACCATATGGTTTAACTTTTGAAAAAATGGAATTAAAGGTGGGAAGGCTGTTATGGCTACACTGTGCCCAAGATGTTGTTGCTGATGCTGCCCATTCTATACTGACCCTGTGACAGAAGAATTGAGAGAACAAAGGCTGGGGTTTCAGCACTTCAGGGGCCACTTATGAGATGGCATTTACCTGGCCCTACTTACAAAGTGTCCCAGACCTGAGAAGCAGGACCGAGTCCTCTCTCCCTGGGGCTACAGGGAGCATTAGGGCTAGCTGCAGCTCCTGCCAGACCCCAAGGTCCAGACGCATTGGCCAACATGGCTCTGCTGTGGCTGTGGTGCCCGGGCGGCCAGGAGAGTGCCAGGGAAACCCTGCTGGCTACCTAGTCTTAACCCTTCCCTGCTTCCTGTCTTCAGAGCGGGTCAGGATCCTCCACTGTGAGTGCACAGCACATCTGGGGACACAAAACTGGTGACTCTTTTATTGCTGATGGGGCAAGGAGAAGGGGATGGCATGGGAAACCCAGCAGTGGGCAGACGGCACAACATGCACACCTCTGTCCCCTGGAAGGGCAAGGGCAGATGGAGGTGTCAGGTCACCTGGCTGCCCCTGTGACAGCCACATGAGTTCAACCTGTTTGCTGGTGGGAGAAGCTGGGGACCGCAGGCGGGACGTTGGGCCAGGCCAGGGAGCTGTCGCTGGGTCGGGTGATTGCCTGGCCGAGGCGCTTGGCTGCCGGGAGCCCTGCCTCCTTGTCTGTTGGCACACCTTGCCAGGCCATGGTCCTGCAGCACAAGCTGGGCACGTGGGAGGGGTGCTGTGCTCAGGCACCCCTGGTCCTCAGATTCACTCCAAGACCCCCGTGGGTGCCCGAAGCCACAGGTGGTACTGCCCTGGATTTGGTCACATGCTGTAGCCATAACTTTTGCAGTTTGAGGCACAACAGCAAAACTAGAGAGCGTCGGTTCCCTTCACAATTCCACAGGCAGATTTGTTCTTACTGACGATCTCAACATGTGGGGTTTTTGTTTTTTTTTTAATTTCTTACTATGTCAAGAACTTTCCTCTTTCATTTAGAAGAAGCAGCTTCTCTGGGCAAACCTGAGCAGTCAGCACCATTACCTCACCATTATGAGGTGACTTTGGACACAGAGCTGCAACAGTCTACCTGGTGACTGAGACGACTCCTAGGGACCCACTGGTGGGTAACACATTCAGGGTGGATTCGCTGGGAAAGGGATGAGTCAGGTCTCGGGCAGCACAGACAGTGAGCTTCCTTCACATTCTCGGAACAGTGCACAAAGTCCAAAACGTGTGTTGGCCATTTCTGAAATTTCCCATCTGGTGTTTTCAGACTGCAGCTGACAGCGGATGACATCCCTCAGAACATGAGACAGTGCATGGGGGCCACTGGGTGGAGCTCGGCAAGGGTACTGCTCAGCCACTGCCTCTGGACATGGCACTCTTAAGCCTCTGCTCCCAGGGGCCAAGGCTCAGCCTGCAGCCTGTACATGCCTCAGGACTGCACCATGTGCTGTGAATCAGTATGCAGTCTGTCCTGCTGGAGAAGCCCCAGGCTCTACCCGTCCCTGGTGTTCAGGGTGAGCACAATGCAAACAGAAGGTGTGCGTGATCCACAAGCTGGTAGACTCCCTGCAGGAAGGAGTGGCTGTCCCTACAGAATGCACCCAGTACACCAGGCCCAGCCCACCTGAGGGTCCTTCAGCCTGCAGGAGAAAGACGGGACCCAGCCACTGATGGAGGAGATCCCCAGAGCTGGTGCCCTCCTGGGTGAGGCTCTGGAGCCGAGGTGGCCAGGAGACACCAGGCAACTCTTCCTACCAGTCCTAGCTCAGGACAGAGGGGTGAGCAGCCACCCTGCAGCTGGGCCCAGGTCTGCAGCCACGAGGCCAGCAGCCTAGTGGGAGCACACAGGCGGAACTGTTCTGGTCACCAGGGACTTAACCTTAGAGTTGCCCTCTGGTCTCCAGGCTGTTGCCCTCTCTCCGACACCACCTCCTCTGGGACAGGAACCATGTCTGCCATCAGTCCTGAAGGGCCAATAGCACGTGTGCCCCCAGTGAAGGCCAATTTCACTGGTGGGTTGGTGGCCTGTTGTGAAGATGGCCTGAGGCCCTAGTCTAAGCAAGTCCATCTTAAAACTCCACTTGGAAACCTGCAATCTTTCTAGGTGCCTATGGAGCCCTCCAATATGGCCCTCAGGCACAGCCTGAGGGAAACAAGTCACTTATCCCCACCCTGACAAACTCAGAGTGAAGTCTCTGTCATGTTGTCCTTGCCCGATAAGGGGGAGAGGCAAGAAAACCAGGGTGAGGGCCACCAGTCCAGATGCTTTAACCCCAGGGCAAATGACGTCACTGAGAAACCCAGTGGCCGCTGATAAGGATAGAAAAGGTGGTCAGAAGCCCCCGAATTTAGTATAAGTGATGGAGCAGATGAACAGATGTTCAGCCAGCCAACACTGATGCCCTCACACTGAAAGCCTGATGAGGACCTGGGCTGACATCCTAACTCTTCTCATCGTTTGCTGATCCTCTGCATCTTCCTCACTGCTCTCAAACTCTGCAGCCACATCTTGACCCTGGTGGGGCCTCTATCAGTTCCTGACCTGATCACTTTGGTCTGAGTGGGCATCTGCTGGACTTAAAGCCTAGGGCTTGAGACTTTAGACCTGGCACTTTTTTTTTTTCATTTATTTTTTAGTTTTCGGCGGACACAAAATCTTTATTTGTATGTGGTGCTGAGGATGGAACCCAGAGCCACGGGCATGCCAGGCAAGCGCACTACCACTTGAGCCACATCCCCAGCCCAAGACCTGGCACTTTAACTCAGCATGCAGAGGGAATGTCTGTCATGAGCCTGTCATGATGAAGTGTGTTTGCAGTGCTTAGGATTAACCTAGAATTGTTTGCTGTGGATTGATTATGTCTATTGCAGTGCCCAGCATTAAAGATTGTCATTTTCTCAATTAAGAACCTATATATTGAAACTGTACTGAGTGATCTGAGTGGATAAAGCATTGAAAAGGCAGAAGCATGTGGACATCTTTATTTCTCCCCCTGGACTGCACAAGTCGCACCTTTGCCCACCATGACACCTGTGCCGATGGCCAACTAGGGACTGGCAGGCATTTTTGGGGACAGTTCAGGGGGATGTGGGCGCCTCTAGAGGCTGAATGTTGAGGGAGCTGGTCCCCAGGTGGCAGGGGCCCTGTGAGCACCTGGACAATGAAGCCGGTGGACGAGCACTGCCGGACCCAGAGGCTGAACTTCCGCTTCTTCCTCTTTCGCAGCTCACGCTCTGTGCACGTGGCGACAAACACGGGGTCCTCGTCAATCAGGGGTTCGTGTAGCACCTGCCAGGGAAAAGCAGAAGTTCCCATGGAAGGCAGCGTGAGCTCGGCTCCTGTTTGCCTCTGGCTGGGTGTGTGGCCTCAGCCAGGTACCTGACTTGTCTGATGCAGTGTCCTTATCCACAAGCTGAAGCATCAGTATTTACAGTTTCCCAGGGAAGATGCAGCAAGAAAGGGGCCCTGAGCACAAACCCTGAGAGCAAACGCCATCCATGGAACTGCTATATGGGCCTGGCGTTCCCAGTCCTGACTGCTGGGGAGAGGGATCCCAGCAGTAATCCTATTGTCTCTGGCTGGACATATCCAGTGGAAGGTGCCCACCTCTGTGCCAGGACACCCTGTCCACAGTGGACAGCTCCAAGGCTGAGGAGTTCTCTCTTGCAGAGTCAAAAATGCACGAACACTTATCTTAAACCCTTGGGTCCCACTTCCACTCGTGAGAAACAAAGGAGATACAGGCTCTCTTTGTCTTTTTCATGATGAGGTGGGCAGGGGTCTCACGAGGGCTAAGCTGGGGGGTCTGCCACCTCCCTCATTAGGGTCCCAGGTCAGCTCTCCTGTCACCCGCAGCCTCCTCTGCCCAGGCCGACTGTCCCCTCTCAGCAAGCACCTCAGGTGGCCCAGTTCCCTGCCAACCCATTACAAAGTTATGTGGCTTTTCCAATAAGAGGTCAACGAAGCTGCTCCGAGGAGTCCAAGGGCCGCTTCTCCTAGCAGAAGTGTCTTGGAGGCTGCCGGTGGGTTTTAAGAACGAGCTACCCCCCAGTCGTGTTCCAAAGCTAACTGTGAACCAGAATACGTGTCTGTTCAATCTAAAGGGAGTCAGCACCGACACAGCTCCAGGAATGGTCACAGTGCTTTGGTCAGGGTCAGCAGGCCCAGCCCTGGCTGGCCCTCCCCCTGCTTTGTAAATGAAGTCCTACTGGAACTGGCTCAGCGCTTTCCTTCATGTGTCGTCTGTGGCTGTGTCTGGGCCACAGCAGCAGACCTGACCAGTCCAGTCTGAAGTACTCTGTGCCATTATAAGAACACTGTCAACAAAGGAGTCACCCAGGAAACCTGCCCACATGTGGCTCTGACCCAGCAGGTCTGAGGCAGCAACTGACACTGTTTCCCTGGGTCCCTAGTGCCGTCAGAGCACTGTCTGACCAGGAATGGAAGTGCTCACCACTGGGAACCGCATGGCGCCCTCTCCTCTCCCATCACCTGGAATTCCATTTTAATGTCTGCAGGGTCTGAGTTGGGGACGTGCCCGCTGTGCTTGCTGTGGGAAACACGGGGACATTGAGCCTGGTTCCGGCCTCTCTCAGGGTCTCATGCCTGACTGCAGCCTCCCTGGCCCTCACACCTGGCTCCTGGCATCACTGGGATGCGAGTCGTGAGGTGTTCACAGCCTGTGTGGACCCACTCAGACACGATGGGCAATGGCATGGACACGGAACTGCCCTCCTGCTCAGCAGGCCAGCAGGCACACTCCACAGCACCCGCAGCACATACCCCTTGGGCACAAATGTGTGCGACACCCTGCAGGCCCTGCAGGGGCCCCAGGCCTGACCCTCCTTTCTGTCAACAAGGGAACATGGGTCAGTATGAAGCTCGGCAGGTGCACAGGTGCCCAGCTCTGGAAATACTCATGCCACAAGTCCCCTCTCCCCCAGGGGAGGCTGCTGCCTTTGTCACAGGTGCGACTTCCAGGGCCCCTGGGCATGATGGCCTACTCTGAGTATGCTAGATGGCATATGGTGCGTAAGAATAGGACGTTCATTTGTCTATTTGCACAACCCTGAGGCATCTCTGATCACGGGCTCTGGTCTTGAAAAATGCAGCGTGTCCCATTTTGTACTTGTCTGGATGCCACACAGGCAGGGGCACACACCCACCTGGCTACGACAGGAGGTCCTCTGGGGCTCTGCAAGCCTTCCAAAGGCTGTGGTGGGCTGGGCCTGCGGTGCTTAGGGTGGCAAGAGGGAGCAGGCACAGCACCTCCCGGGAACCGGAGCAAATCCGTCCTCATGCCTGAGCAGAGGGACAGAGTGTCCCATTTCAAAACCCGCCCTGCAGCCGCCATCCAGCTGCTGCCTGCTCAGGGCTCTGAAGGGCTACAGGGCCTCCCTCCAGCTCCCAGGCCCAGAGCTGCCTAGGGACATGTCCGTGGATCTCAGGTCCCCTCAGGGCCCTGAGGCATACCAGAGGGCATGGTGAACATCCTGAACCAGGGCACAGAGAACTGAGTCTGCAGACAGGGGTGCTCAGGCAGTCCAGGACTAGCGCACAGTAAGTATGCAACAGACATGAGCACCACCATGGCTCACCTAGACGGGGAGCCAGAGGGTCCCCAGCAACTCTGCCCTTAGACTCTGAATATCAATCAACCAACATGCTGGATGTGGGACTCCTGAGAACTGCAGGGACATGGCAGGTCTGCAATCCCCAAGATGTCTGACCCAGGATGGTCAGAGGTGGTTGTTTCTGTTCCCTGTGTGCAGCTAACACATCTCCCACCTGGGTCATTCCCAACCACACAAGTTATTCAACAACATAAAAACCACTTCCAAGCCCTGCAGGCCGAGGATGAGGCAGTGCTGTCCTCCCCAGAGACAGCACCTGTTCTTATTGGTAGGCTGGTGGAACTCGGCTGCCCTACCCATCATGGGAGGGACTCAGCATCAGGATCTGGGGAATGCAGGCACCATGGGGCCTGGACAATGGACACATTTGCCCAGCAGAGGACAGAAAGCCATCCCAAACACCTGGCCATCACGAGAGGGCCTGTCCAGCAGTTCCAGAAAGCAGGGGAGCTACTCAAGGGGTCTTCAGATCCCCACAGACCTGAAACCTGGTGACGTCTTCCCTACAAAGCCCGTGGCATCCGGTGGGGTTAGGGTGGAACAGTAGAGCTGAGAAGGGGCTCCAGAAGAGAACATCAGGGGTGGGTCAGAAGCCCGTCAAGGAAGGCACACAACACGGTCAGTGAGCCTCTGGATGCAGAAGGGAAGGAGGCGTCTTTCCACACAAAACGGCCCAAGGCAATAGGCTCATATGGGTGAGCCACACTCCACAGCCAGGCTACATCTCCCAGATGAGATGTACCCTGCTCCACCTACAGCCTTCCAATCTGCCAGACCAGGAAAGCTACTCCAAGGAGGATTCCAGAGTCTGTCTCACTGCAGATGTGATGGTCCTGGGCACAGGTGCACACCAGGTGGAGAGGTTCTGGGCCATGGGCACAGGTGCACACCAGGCAGGGAGGTTCTGAGCCATGGGCACAAGTGCACACCACGAGGGGAGGTTCTGGGCCATGGGCACAGGTGCACACTAGAAGGGGAGGTTCTGGGCCATGGGCACAGGTGCACACCAGGAGGGGAGGTTCTGGGTCAAGGGCACAGGTGCACACCAGGCAGGGAGGTTCTGAGCCATGGGCACAGGTGCACACCAGGAGGGGAGGTTCTGGGCCTCAGGCACAGGTACACACCAGGCAGGGAAGTTCTGGGGGCCACAGGCACAGGTGAACACCAGGCAGGGAGGCTGGGGGCCACAGGCACAGGTATACACCTGTGCACATCTGGGGTTTTGGGGGCCACAGGCACAGTTGTGCACCAGGCAGGGAGGTTCTGAGCCACAGGCACAGGTGCACACCTGGTGGGGAGGTTGTGGACCACACATAGGTGCCTACAAGTGGGGATATTCTGGGGGCCACGGGCACAGGTGCACACCAGGAGGGGAGGTTCTGGGCCACAGGCACAGGTGCGCATCAGGTGGGGAGGTTCTGGGGGCCACGGGCACAAGTGCACACTAGGTGGGGAGGTTCTGGGCCACGGGCACAGGTGCACACCAGGCGGGGATGTTCTGGGGGCCACAGACACAGGTGCACACCAGGAGGGGAGGTTCTGGGCCAGGGGCACAGTTGCACACCAGGTGGGAAGGCTGGGGCCACAGGCACAGGTGCTCACCAGGTGGTGAGGTTCTGGGCCATGGGCACAGGTGCTCACCAGGCAGGGAGGTTCTGGGCCATGGGCACAGGTGCACACCAGGCAGGGAGGCTAGGGGCCACGGGCACAGGTGTTCACCTGGTGGCGAGGTTCTGGGCCACGGGCACAGGTGCATACCAGGTGGGGAAGTTCTGGGCCACGGGCACAGGTGTGCACCAGTCGAGGAGGCTTGGGAGTTAAGGTTAGCCAGTGCTACCATCTCCTGCGAACGTGGGAAAGGTGACAGGGAGACACACCAGAGGGGTCCTGGGCTCTACAAAACCTTGTGCAGAGACTGGTCTCTGCAGAGTGTCCTGGCAGGCTGTTGGCACCTAAGCTGCCCCTGGGACCTGAAGGTCTACAGCTGTCCCTACTCATTTCCTGTGCTACCCAGGTGTCCAGCCCCTTTGCACCACCAGCAGGCTCGTGTCCAGAGGACATGAGGAGAAGGTGCCAGCTTGCAGAACACACTTTGTGGGAGGAAAGTTGGAAAGGTGACAGTGGCCCCTCAGGAGCAAGCCACAATTCTGGTGAGAGCTCTCCTCCCGTCATCCTCACCAATCAACACTGGCGTAGGGGTCAGCAGAACAAGGAACAGCAGAAGTGACCTGAAGGGACCTTGGGTGAGCAGGGCAGGACAGAACCCAAGTCCCACCACCAGCCAGGCACAGATGGGCACTGGGACAGCTGGCAGAAGCCCCGGCTCACCTGGGTTTGGGACGGCCTGAAGGCGGCCTCAAAGCTGCCCTGCAGGGAATCGAGAAAGGGCTGCACCTTGTAGAGCCCGTGCGTGGCCTGGCTGGAGCGGAAGGCCACAACGTGGAAGTACTTGAGGATCTTCTCAAAGCGGGCCTGGCTCATGGCCAGAGCCAGGCTGCGGTTACTGTAGAAGCCACTGCTCCAGATGCTGAGGACAGACTCACAGTGGGAGACACTGGTGGAGATCACGTAGCCCAGGAAGGCCTTCATCTCGGCCAGCGTCACCTCCACCCAGGCACCGTCGCTGCCAAATCTCTCCTGGAACTTCTTGGCATACATGTTGGTCTGTACCACCATGCTCTTGAGCACATTGTCGGGGACAAACAGCTGGAAGAAGTCCATGGCACTGGCACTGGGAGGCATCTTCCGCGTGGGACCTAAAACCCAAAGACAGGCCACGTGCTCATCCTGTGACCCCAAATGCAGGAAGAACATGCTGTTGCCCAGCCCTGGCTCTCCTCCCTCCTGGAGGAGCTGGAATTCAGTGCCCTGGGGAGGCAACGGCCCTGCTGCACCTCCTGTCCAGCCTCCAGCCCCACGGCAGCACCCATGCAGCTCCTTCCCTGAACACAGCAGCACCAGTAGCAACAGGCCCATACCCCAGGGAGGACAAAGGGGCAGGGGCGTGGCTAAGTGGCTGTCTGGCTTCCACTGTCTTGTACTTTAGGGTGGCTCTGTGGGTAAGCCACTTCCACCAAGGACCAGCTCCCTCCAGGAAAGGGCACCCTCACCAGACATGCCCAACACGGCAGCCTGAGCCCACCAGTGAGTGATCTGAGAGGACTGGTCTACAAGAACGTCGCCAGTGTGCTGAGACTCCGTGACTCACAACAGGGTCAAATGCCAATAGCCCCTTCCAGGATCAAAAGCTGACCTGTAGTCCTGGGAGCAGCCGCATATAGCCCAGGCTCATGAGCTGCAACCCACGAGCTGCAGCCCAGACCTCAGGAGAAACCCACCCCACCTCACCAGCCCTGGAGAGGAGCGAGCCCCACAGGTTGCTTTCCACCCAAAGACGTGACCAGCATTGCTCCATCATGAGTGGAAAAATCACAGGAGTTGAATGGCCTTCAGGGGCGTGTGTGTGCGCGCGCGCGCGCGCGCCAGCAGAGCGCAGATTTGGAAAACCCAAGCCTGGCTTCCTTCTCATGGCAGCAACTTCTAATAAAAGCTGGTGCCCATCAGAATCCTGGTCCCTCACATCTGCCCTTCCTTTACCACCAGCTTACACGTCTCCGAAAGACAAGGTCTCCACAGCACAACTAAGGTGATGCGGACAAGACGGTCGACTGCAGAGTGGGTGGGCAAGTGCAGGCAGCCACCCGCACGGTGGGGCGTTCTCGATCGTTCTTTGCCCTAGCTTTTGCACTGTACGACGGGCACCAGAGTCCCTGCTGCGAAATGCTGTCATGCAGAGTGAAGTAAGAGCTGACAGTGACAGGCCAGCACAACACACATGCCCTGGGCCAGGTGCTGGAGGTGGGTGACTCTGCGATGGCACCGCAGAAGCCCACCGATGGCCAGGGCAGCACTGTCCTAGGCAGACTCCAACTGTCCTTGCCTACAGAGGAGCAGATGTCCGCAGAGCCACGTGGCCACCTCGCTGACTCCACCCACCACAGCTTGGACAGGCAGCCGCAGGCCAGTGCCCCAGCACCACGTGACAAGGGGAGGCAGCCAGGGCATGGAGGGCCTGGCTCAGGAGCCCCAACCCCAGGGAGCCAGCATCCTCCTGTGGGAGCTATGACTCCTACACAGCAGCTGGAGGAGGAACGCTGGCCGACGGGATCACTGCATCACACCGACTCTGCACCAGACTGAACCTGCACAGTGGGGTTCTCTCTTCCTACAGCCCTGTTTAAAGGGACCCTGGTTCCCGGACACTTGATGATGAATCCACACCACTGCCCCAGCCCTGCAGCAGCGGCATAAAGCGGCTCCTGTCTGTTCTCCTGGCTTGTGAGCAGCCCCCACAGCCTCATAAGGCAGCCACTGGAAGATGTGCCCTGGGGGGCTGCGAGGCCAGCACACCTGACCGCAGAGCCTCTCCAGGTGTCCCTGAGAGCCATCACCCATTTGGCGGGACAGGAAACAGCTCAGACACAACCCAAGGCTTTCCTGAGTGGCCTCAGTCCCCCGGGGCCACAGCCAGTCACCTGCTGGCCCCCACCTCCTGCCTTCTGACCTCTGCACTGCCAGACCATGAGGCCTGAAGCAGGATAGAACCTGCAGCCACCAAACTCCAGGGAAAGGACAGCATCCATGGCGGGAGACCTGGAAGGGGTGGTGCCACCTAAGCCCAGGTCTGGCAGACAGTGAGCACTAGGCAGAAGTCCAGCCCTCTGCACCCATCAGGTCCCAGGTCTGGACCTCCACCTGTTCCCCAAGGCTCACGATGCACAGTCCCCACCAGGGTCCTTCCTCCCTCTCCTCTTTTCACATAGCTACAGGGGCTCTGCTTAAAGAGGGGCTTAACACAGGGCAGTCAGGGAGCCACCACCTGGACGTATGCGCAGGACAGATGCTGGAAAGAAGGAAGAGGAAGACCACATCCTCTCCCCCAGGGTGGACTGCATAGTAAGAGGAGAAGGCAGCAGATGAGGACTTGGGCTTGGAGGGGTGCTGTGTCCACAAAAGTGACCAGAATTCAAACCTCAGGAGATGGCTCCATGGAAGGCCGTCTGAGATGGGCTCCAGAGGGGACCTGAGAAAGGTGTCAATCCTGAGGAACTGAGGCATTTCAGGCAAGAAGAACATCATATGCAAAGGCCCTGGAGCCAGAGAGCACACACTATATTTACTGCCTCTGTGAAAGGGAGAGAGGCTTTGGGACAGGGACTGGACACTGTCATGGACATGGACCAGCCTGAGCGTGTTAGGAGTCAGGGGAGGACGAGGACAAGCTGGCACACACATGCTACAGAGGGTGGCGTCTGCACCAGGTGCAGAGGATCTGGAGGCTGTGGCGGAGGTTGGGTGAGACCGGAAGGAACTGGGCCAGCTCCCTCTGCGGGCTCCCTACGGGTGTGTGGCTTGGAGTGTTCATGGCTGAGCTGTCTGAGCAGGACAGGAGGGGCACCCTATCCAGCACCCCAGAGCCCCCAACCTCTGCTCCCTTTGGGTCACCTATGGGCAGCACTGCCCTCAACCCACAGCCACCCATAAGTACATCTTTCCACCTCTCCCTCAGAATCACACCACCCACCCACTGCAGCCTCAGGGAGGCCAGATAGTGCCAGTTGCCCCAAGGGTATTGACCACTGACCACCCCAATGGCTTACAGCAAGAATGATGCTCAAACCTAACCACACACACCAACCCCTGCAGCCCACTCAAGATCCCACATGCTCCCCCAGCATCCCTCAGGAGGCCCCAGGGCCAGCGTGACCCAAGCCTGCCCCTTGGCCTGGGCCTGGGCCACTCTCTGTGGGTGTGCAGGAAGCACTGGCCGAGCCTGGCCTGAGCCCCACCTGAGCCACGGGAAGGAAGGAAACCCCTGGGCTCCAGTCCACTCAGCCCTGCCCTTTGGCTTTCCTGACTCTCAGCCATGACTAGACTCCAAAGCCAGCCTCCCATCATGGCCCTCCTGGTCATCCTCCTCGTATTCTTCCTAGTTCATGCATGGTTTGGGGTTCTGTGTGCTGGGAGGGGACCCAGGGCCCACACTTCAGGCAAGGGCTCCACCACTGAGCTGCACTCCAGCCCTTTTTATTTATTTACATATTTCTTGAGACAGGGTTTCACCAAGTTGCCCATGCTACCCTCAAAACTGTGAGCCTCCTGCCTCAGCCTCCTGCGTCACTGGGATCACAGATTATGGGTGAGCACCAGTGCACCTGGCTTCCATGCACATTTTATGATCTGCCAGAGCTTGCTGTTGACCGGCCTCTGCTGCCGCCCTGACCCCAACAGAGCATGAGTGAGGCTGAGAGCAAGGCTGTGGCGCCATCTGTGTGTCCTCACAGCCCACAGAAGGCATGCTCCTTTACAGGATGGAGATCACTGAAGAGAGGATAGCGCCTCCCCCAACAGGATCCTTCCTCAGCTCAGCAGGAATAGCTGGGTCTCTGCCTGCTGACAGCCAGGGCAGCCAGAAGACCTGCACCCTGGGAGGCCTGTGCAGAGTGTGGGACAGGACTGACAGCCTAGGCCAGTCTTGCTAGCCTGCCAGGTGCACTGGGGACCTCCTGTAAATTCAGGCCACTTCTGATAGGCAGATGTGGGAGGGTGTGCAGCCAACCTAGGGCAGCGCCGGGTCCTGCTGGTCTCTCCTCCCCACTCCCCTCCTCTCCCCTCCCAGCTGGGGAACCACTCTTGGTCCTTCTCCCTTCCCATACCCTCCCCCTTGCTGTGCTACAAGCTGCTAGCCCTGTGACCTTGGGGAGGCCACTGGCACCTCTGCGTCTCAGTTTCCTTATCTACCAAGGGGAACAGGCAGCACCAGGGTGTGAGTCATGGGACCTCACACATGGCAGCTGCTGGGCCTCCCTCACAGTGCTCGCTCAACCTCAGCCCTGGAGGCCATCTGGCACCCGAGGGGCCACCTTCACCGTGGAGAGAAGCTGCTGGTGCATCTTTAAGCTGAGGCCATTCGGAGGCTCCACACTCATTTTGGCTGAGAATGGCTTCCAGATGAGCTGGTGCTTTTTGGTAGAATGTGTCTGCAGGTTTGGGATGCAGGAAAGCATCAGTATTCTAGGTCAGGGGTTTAGGAGAACAGAATCATTCACCTCCAGGCTGCATCAAGCCAGGATGAAGCAGCTGCACCTGCATCACAACCTCTGCTTTGCAGCACTGACGACTGCACACCAGGAAGACGCCAGGAAGGCACCAGGCAGGACTGGCTGACGCCCCACCCTCCCTGGTAGCAGCAGGTCCCAGTCTGCAGCTAAGGTGACCCCACTCCCCTGCAGGCTTGCGTCTGCCCCAATGTGGGACAAGCCTGATCTGTTTGCAAGCACCTGGGTACTTGCTCACTGACAGAATTTGACTGCTGGCCACCCAGCGCCCAGATGCCCCTCCTAGTTCAACCTCTGCATGCACAACTCAGTGACTGGTTCCAAACCAACCCTGAGCTGGCTCAGGGGCTCCCAGGGGCAAGGCCCTCACTAGGCCCTGGCAGCCTGAGGGCAGCTAAAGAGCTTGGTGTGTAGTCTGACCTGCGCACACCCGGGTACCAAAACCAAGTTCAGATTATTAGTGTTGGTTCCCCAAGCAGTGTCCTCTATTGGAGGTCACAGGGCTCTGCTGACCCTGGAAAACATGCAGGGATCTTCCAAGAAGCTTCATAAGCAGCTCCAGCCTCATACACACAGCACCCTGGCTCCCGTGAGGAGCACAGCGGTTTACTGTGGGCATGTGGGTGCACACATGCACA